ACATATGACAACATTTAAATTACCTTGCCCTGTTACCAGACAAACAAATAGTACCTACGTTGTGAATTTGTCAAACTCTGCCAATTTCTTACAAATTAAAAAAAAAACTAATGTCTTTTAAAAAATGAGTTTGTGTGGTAATAAATATTGCAACGTTTGCTTATCACTGAAAACAACGTAACAGTTTAATTATAGGTATTATTAAAAAAAAGTTAATTTTTCTAAAGTTCTTAGATCATCATTGTAACATATCTGTAAGCTATAAGCTGTGTTGTCGTTTTTCTTTATAATTTTCTCTGAAAAGTAAGTCCTCATGAGCAGTTGTTTATACAGGGTGTCAGAACTCGCGTCCCACAGAAAAATTTTAAGTAAGATAAGATACCAGGAACATGGAAATAATGTTTTGACATTTATTTTTTAAGATTTGACATTTTTTATGTATATTTAATGATACTGATGATCTTGTACCTATATATATATATATATATATGTTTTTTTTATAATTATTAAGTAAAGGTACAAAAATTTTGCCAATAAAAGCCACAAATAACATTAAACAGAGTTGCAATTTAGCTTATAGCTTCCTTGTTTTCTCTTCTAAAAGCCTGTAGCAAAAAACTTGGAAAATTATTTTTCAAACAAAAATAAATGGAGTCAAAGTGTAAAATTTAAACTCTCTTAACTTCGGAATTTTTATAGATACAATTTTTTTAACATTTCTTCATGTTCCTGGTATCTTACCATTTTTCTCTGGGGTGCGAGTTTTGGCGCAGCCTGTATAAAATCGTTTTCTGTGTGTGACCCACATATCTCCCATGTCACGCCTGTCCGGCCTGTGACACCTGATATATTTAGACTTTTTGATGCAATTTATTTTATTTCACTTATTAATCATTTATTTTCACCAAAAAATAATATACTTACCTAATAATTAATAGTAGGTACCTAATTAATAATATGATATTTGTAATTAGAAGAAAAAAATTACACACAACTAAAATCCATCTGCAAATAATCTCTGTTTCATTTTTGAGATAAATTCCACTTAATATTATGAAAAAATAGAAAAATACAATTGGAATCGAAATTCTCATGGTCTGTTTCCACTACGAGTATTTGATATAAAATAACATATTCGAATAAACAATGTCATAGACATTTTTGTTGTGACTTTCTTGCCACTCCTGACAGAAAGTGCAACAAACTCGTCCAAATAACCATATGACAGATTAAGTCATAATGTCATTTCATTTAATTTGCATTGCTTCGTACTGTTAAACCATAATTCTCGATAACTAGTATTACAACAAATTAACGTATAAATAGTCTAATAATTATTGTCAAGACAGTTGCATTTCTTGTTTATTTTTTAAAACTAATCTTGTCCTGAACACATTAAAAAACCCACACATATAATCTTCCGATATCAACTTTTCCTACACAATTCTGTCATAACACCGCAATCGGAAATAATTAAATGCTGTATTATATGCACAAACTGATAGAGATAAGCTCCACCCACACTATTTAGAGGGCCGGCACTTGCTCTTGACAGGTGCCGCCATCTAGTTAGAAGAATTCAAGTAGACGGCATTAATCTCTCACCGGGTGTTTCTTCCTGATAAATGCCGAAAAACAAACACAATATCCAATCAGTGTTTGAATAAATTTAACAAAAAAATACCGTGACGCTATCATACCAATCGCCAGATCCACCGATTAAAATAAAATTAATTCTGTAAACAATAAATTGTAATTGGTTCTAACTAATTATGAAAAATGTGTCAGCTGCCTGCAAAAATAAAACAAATTGCAAATTTATTATAAAAAAATTTCAGTTAATTTAAGAAAAACTACGGCTTTGTGATGACTAGTTTTGAGGTTAGTTTTTATATCATTTTAATTTTACATCTAAAAAGCTTTCTACGGTCAGAATTTCTATTTGCAAAGTTTGTGTGAATAAAAAGACAGGTCCAGTAAAACTTACCAGCTGGTTGTGATGGTATAAACTACAGGAAATAGTGAAAATAAATCAGAAGGAACGCTAGACTTCTCATCGCGACACTATACAGTGGTGCCACATAGCGGCATATTCAAGAGATTAGAGAGAGTAGGAAATTTTAATTTAAATTATTAGGAATTATCTTAATTTATAAAATTTAATTAAATTGTGCAATTATATTTTAAAATACATAAATAATCTTTTATTTGAAAAAATATTTGATCAGTATGAAACCCATGAGACAAAAAAACTTTATGGTAATATTCGTTTGTTGTGTAATTATTTTTGTAAACATAATTTAACAAGTGATTAAAATTTATCATCCTGGACTATTAGAATCGACTACTAAATTTATTAACATTTAACAAATCTATAATTTAAATAAATTTGTATAATCGACGTGGACGCGCATGAATAAAGAGATGTCCTTACGAGAATTAAGAAAACTTGACGTTTGTTATTTATTAAATAGAAAATATTAAGAAATTGTTTTTGTATGGCACCTGCTTAATTTTTTCATCGAATAAATATTTTAGTAGCTTTAATTAATAATAAGGTTAATATTCATATCAATGTCAGTTAGGTTGATTTGAAAAATCATCGTGATAAAACGAGATGAAATTAATCATATAAGATTTAACTAAATATCAGGGTCGGCTGGTAACTATAAATTTATTAAACAACTAAATTGACAATTTAATTACGATAAGTTGACAAGATCTGTTTTGATGTCAACACTTTATTATTTTGCTTTTGCTAGTTAGGAGGTGTTAATTTTTTCTATACCTATGTGTAGAAGGAAGCTTGAATAACTTATTAAAATATGATTAATCTTTAAATTATTTTACTATGAAACAACCATAAAAATTTGAACTACTTATACCTTTTAATACATATTTAGAATTTCATATACCGATTGCATTATAAAAAACGCCCCAAGCCATAACTGTATTATTTTTATAGATATTATAATATACTTCATTGATCAAAGTTTAAACAGTTTTTGGTTATTAGGTAATCGTTTGTTTGTTTTAGATAAAATAAATAAATATTTTCTATTCTTTTCATAGCCTATACCTAATTTAGTTTACTTTTAAAATTGCCTTAAAACAGTAGTTAGTGATAAATAGAATTAGTGAACTTCTTGAAAAACAATTTAACGAGGATTCCAAAAATAATAAAATATACCCAGAGGGTGTTTTATTTAAAAACAGGAATTGATGTTACTTCCGGGGAAACAGAAAGCAGTATTAATTGAGCATCTGTTATAAAAAAAAATATGACAATGAATTGTGCAATTTTGTTCCAAAAAGTATTGTCATATCTTAAAAAAAATAAGTAAAGTTATGGTTGTACCTATATGTTACTGTAGGTATTTATTTGCATAAACAATATTATGTATCATAGATAATAAGTAGAAATATGTAGTATAATATCTAGATTTTTTATTGGTAATGTAAAAATGATGTAAGATGTAGACAAAGTATGTATTTTGAATAATTTTGTAATTTGGGATATTTTTAATCAAAGTAAAAAAGGTGTGGAATTTGTAGTTAATAATTTTGCTCCATAAAGTTGTTAGTATTTACGTCCACAGTTAAATTAAAAGCGAAATGAAAGTTTTCACTGAAAGGTAGCTTGCAAGAGTTCTTCAACACATTGGAAATTCAGACAGTTTTACATCAACTATTATTTTAATAGCTTAACAAACACATTTATTTAATAGTTTAATAATATATTGACTTGAAATATTTCTGATCCAGTGGAATAACATTAACAACCAGTTTATACACTAATGCATTTATTTCTCAGACGACCTTAATAATTTAAAAATAACACTTATGTTGAAATATCTTAATAAAATTTCATGTTTTTATAACATTTATCAACCTGTAAAAATTCGTCGATAAAAAGATTCATACCTAGAGAAAAACTCATAAAGCTCAAATCGCATCATGTCATCAGAAATAACAGAATCCAAATTTATTGAAGTTTGTAAACACAACAAGTTTTAAATACTTGGAGGATCAGTGATGGACAGTCGGCAGGAAAAAATATACTAAATACAGAAAGTAAGGAAAACAGAAAAAAGTAATGCAAACATCCGAAAATCCTTAATTTTTATTAATCTCATGATAATAGCTTATAGGTGTATCATTCTAATTAATAAATCTACTACACTATAAGAAATTAAATTATCTGCTTGTAATGTAAACAAGAATTTTAATTAGATATATTGCAATAAACGCCCCTATAACTTATAATTAATTATAACTATAATGTAAATATAAAAAATTAAATTTTGTTTGTCAATTATAGCATAATAAAACTACAAATATTTTAATTGTATTTATTAATGACAATCAGACTAATATGGAAACAACCTGTTATATTTACAAAGAATAAAATATTGTGACTTCATTGGTTAAGATTTACAATTCAAATAAATTAGATTCTTAGTATAAATAAATTAAGTTTGCTAATAATGATTAATTACTTGTAATGCATTTGCTAATTACATTAAATCATCGTCTAGATTGAATCTCAAGTCTCTGAGTGTAGACACATTTAGATCTCAGCTTGAGATAAGTTGTTTTGTTAAAATTCCAGTTTGAAGAAGATACATGTGCGTTGTTTAAGCACGTATTATGTATGCCGGACAAACTCTTCTCCTAAGTGCGTTTTTTCATCTCCCGTGATAAATAATCCCATTTCAGCAGTCCCATTCTTTTAAATAACCCATCCAAAGGCATCGTCGACCTCCTCCCGCGCACCTCGCACCAGCACCAACAACAGGTGAACCCGTTCACAAGAATAAAGCACGCAATCGACAGCTCGCATCCTCTGTGCGAGGCTAGGCCTCGACGAGAGGCCGAGATCATAAAGTAGGCGTCGCCCATCTCAGACCTCGCCCACCTGTCAAACTGACCATGAAGTTGCGCATTAGCTCAACTCCGGCTCTTGCAAACTAACAACACAGAGAGCGGTCCCGAAGAGGAGGTTGAGAGATGTGTTCGAGCTAGTGACGAGAGATGACATCCTGAAAAGCAGACAGAGAGCGAAGAGCGACGCCAGAGACGCCGGCGCTTACAACCTGACGAAACGTTGCGCCGATTGTCGTTTGTTCGTTTCGTGGTAGTGGGGGAAAAACCGCGCTCCGTGTTGTCAGTCACTCAGTCAACGGAGGCTCTGCAACTGAGAAGGACGCTCTTCACTTGTTCCGTGCGTTGACATTCGCTCCAACTGTCGCGGGGGGCGAATTGACAGTGATCGGTGACGAAGTGAAAGACCGCGAACATCATCGTGACCGCCGAACCATGTTCACCCACGATCCCCTACTTGCGTATACGAAATACCTGTGCTGTGCAGTGTTCCACCGCTAAGCGAGTCCTCGATCGGAGTTTTGTTTTTTCCGGATGTTAGTGATGTTTGTTTGGTGGAGAAAATGAACTAGAGAAGAGCAAAAAGTCGTTCAAGATTTTGCGAAAATCGTCCAGGAAAGCGGGCAAAATGCCGAGACGAAAACAGGATTGCCCTAAAAGGATGAAATGTAAGTTTGCACTTACGATTTTGGGATGATGCGCAAAATCAGGACGGCGTGGTGAACATGTGCTTCACAGGATAATACGCAACGCGAGAGCTTTCAGACTACTCTCGCGCTTGATTTAACTCTCAACAACCGAATTAATCTTTCTCTCAAAATATCTCAACATGCACAACAGTTTTTCAAATTCTTCCCCAGTTCACGTGTTCGCTTAAGTATGAAATCTAACTGTCGATAAAATATGTTAAAAATTATTGCAAATTGTTGCCCGACATAACTAATGCATGGTAAATAACCTTGCGATGCTCTTAAGTAAAATGTCCTCTTATTCAACAAGAATTCGCAATCTTTAAACCTAAGCCTTGAGGCTGTTTGCTTTTATTAAGTTTCTAATTGAAGTGTAAGTGATTTATGAAAAATGCCTGATGAGTAAGAACATAAAATCCTTGTAACAGTAGAAAAAACCATCAAACAAGTTAATTTGAATCATAGTCATAAATCCTAGCTGTGTAATTTTATTTTTTCAATCTTCTACAAGTGGGTGTAAAATAATAGTAGATATTCATGTGCTTATTTTGGCGACTGGCAATCATTGTTATTGGCTCGAGGAACAATAAATAATAATTTATCGACATAAAAATGAATGAGTGCGACTCGTAAATGATAATTTAGTGTTTTGCTGTCATTTGTTGGTTAAAAAATTGAAAATGGACAGGCCGTTGGCCTGCGAAAAGATTGATCCAATTAAGTAAATGTGATACAATCGTCCTTGAAAGGTACATAAATTTTTCTAGAAATAACCTTTGATTTAGTATCTCACGTTTGTCTCCATGATGAAACTCCAAATACAATAAATTTCGTCAAAAAGTATTAATAAAACACTGGAAAATCATTATAAAAATAGAGACGTCCCAGCGTTGGCACAATAAAAATGTCAATAAATCAAAAGCATTTCCTAAACACCGCGACGAGAACTTTTCGGATATTTTTGAAATGCCCACTTAGAAACTGTTTTAGTGGCGGGAACACATATTTTTCTTAGTTTCTCTTGAAGCAATTATTTTCTTATAAATATCACTCGCCCACTGGAGGCTACAACTACAGCTTTATGACCAATTTTCTTTTTATTATAAGATCCACTGCTTGTATGTCTTTATCTCGAGATTTATGAAAATTGTATTAAATGGTATTTGTTCATATTGATTTCACAATAGTGACTCACGATATTCCCCGTTTTATATTATCGTGCAATCTCATTTTATTTATTATATTACTTTATTTCAGGCTAGGCATCAATAATAGAGATTTTTTTTTACAAATGCGTTACTTATTGACATTAAGTCTAATTTTATATCTTTATTATTGCAATTTAAAATCAACATTATTTGTTCGCTTGTTGTCGCTTAACATTTTATTACCAACAATCGGAAAGTTTTCTGAATTAATAAAAGATTCGTTTCCTTTTCCGTTTCTCACATTTATATTAAAATATTGACTTTCATGGTTTTCGCAATTTTATCGCTTTCTCAGAATTAAAATTTTACCAAATCACAACATTTAGGTATAAGAATACCTAAAATAACATTCTGTCTCCAAATTCGTCTCTTTAGTTTCCAGGTAATTTGCTGATTTTATAGAAGAACAATTTTTAAGACATCAAAAGATTTTTCTCATCACTGCACATTATTTACTTTAAATAACACTATTGTTATTCAAATTTTTGAAATATTGTTATGAATGACTATTTCGATTAATTTACAAATTTATTCCTGAATGTCTAAATATATAATTTGTTGGCATTTTTTCCATCACATCATAATTGTAGGCGTTTTTAAAAGAAACACGAATTTAATAAAATTAAGCCTAATTTATTGCTTTTTTAAACTTCGGAGCGCACATTTGATTAAATCAAATTATTCAATATTATTTTTCCAAGTAAATTTATCGTCACTTTTGACATTTGTTGTTTATTTATTATCTTTTTACTTTCTTAATATCTGATTTTATACATTTCACGCAACGTTGTAAGTTGAATTTATTTAAGAATTTGTAAGTAAAGAGATGTTAGTCATCAATGCAATTATCAATTCAATGAGGGAAATTCTGGCTCTGTGTTAATTTCATGCACAAGCTTAAAGAGATTTTTGGCAAGATTGCAATTACCAGATGCATAAAAATCTTGAAATAATCTTACTTGTCACAGATGGTGCTCTCATTGCGAGAAATTATGTAAATCGTTGAAAAATTCGGAAAAAATTATGCAGATTTAGATTGATCTAAAACTATGTCTTATATGTACAATTTATTATCTGATACTAGTAATAGAAAGTATAATATAATTTTAAGTAGGCTAACACAAGTAATCCGATTATTGAAAGCTTGCGCTTTAACACGGAGTTATGTGTATCGGTGCTTTGGTTTAAGATAAACGATTAATAATTGAGAATTTGTGCCATAAATTTTCGTTTATTATATTGTAAGCTTGTTCAAGTGTCTGATTAGAATTCTGGAATTTGTGATTGATTATTTGCTCTAGGATGTAGCTTTTGACAGAGCACTAGAGAGGAAAATTTGAAAATTAAATAAAACAATACAAATTTAAAACCAAAATCTCATTTTTGAGGTTTAAAAAGAATACACATTCTGATTTTTTTTTAACAATATAAAAGTTTTTTCTTATTTACGAATAATAGTTTAAGTTAAAAAAATTGGGCTTTACTAAAGTAAATATTTTCGCTTTGAAAAATTAAACTACTTATTATATTGATGAAATTATAAATTATTCAAAAACAATAAAAAACAATATACAGGGTGTTGGTTTCAGTTATTATAAGAGGGGTCGGTTAAATTAGTGCAAAGTTGCACATTTTTATGTTGAACAATAATCTGAAAGAAAATTTAATGTCATTGGTTTTGAATTATTGGAAAAAAACGGAAATTTGTAATTTTCGTTTTTATTTTTCCAAGCGAAAACTGAAAGACCTAGACCTTATAACCTTATTATAGGACGTTTATAAGACAGTTTTTTACAATGAATCTAAATCTGTCATCGTAGTTTCTAAGGCGCTCTTGATATCAGAGTTACAACACTCAACTTCGGATTTTTTTATGGACGCCATATTTGATTTCTGTATTTTTGAAGTCTTTTTGTTCCTGATTACAACGATGTATCATACGATATGATCAAATTTTACATGCTGATCAAAATTAAGAAAAAGCTTTTTTGCAAAGAATGCTTTGGAAAAAATGCCAACAATTTTAACAAACTAAATTTTGAAGCTGATGCATTCGAGCATCTTTTATAACTTTATGTTGTTTTGTTTTGCGAAGAGTAAATTCTAGTTTATCACGTTGTTCCTATTTCAAAACCTTTGTTTTGGTACGTAAGTTTGACGAAAATGTGACTTCCAAAGCACTCTTTGAAAAAACGCTTTTTCTTAATTTTGATCAGCATGTAAAATTTGATCATATCATGTGATACATCGTTGTAATCAAGAACAAAAAGACTTTTCAAAAATACATAAATCAGATATGGCCTCCATAAGAAAAAGTTGAGTGTTGTAACTCTGACATCAAGAGCGCCTTGGAAAATACGATGACAGATTTTGATTCCTTGTAAAAAAGTGCCTTAAGAACGTCCTAGTTAAAAAAAAGGTCTTTTAGTTTTCGCTTGAAAACATAAAAACGAAAAATACAAATTTCCGTTTTTTTCCAATAATTCAAAAACTAATAATGACACATTAAATTTTCTTTCAAATTATTGTTCAGCATAAAAATACACAACATTGCCCAAATTTAACGGACCTCGTATCTCTTATAATAACTGAGACACTTTGTATATGTATATACAGAATTTTCAGAACTTAAAACGGTTTTTGAAAAGATACTGCTATGTTTGTTGGTTTGAGCTTAGTGTTTTTAGTTTGTCGCACTTTGCATTATATTAGATAGTTCTTAATGTTTTTTTTTAAGAATCATATTCAAAACACTAATTTTTATCCGATCTTTATATTTTATTTAAATTTTGTTCACTTTTTTATACTAATGAAAATTTATGGGAAGGTACTTAAATCATTTGATATTTTTAATCTTTTTATTATGTTGGCATTTATAACTAAATATCAAACAGGGGATTTCGAAGTCTGTAATTATGTAAGTGCATTTGATTTGCTGATTTTGCTGGTTTTCAATATTAATCTTAATATTTTCTCTGTTTTTGTATTTATTTCTAAAGTTTTTGATATTTCTAAGTAACTTCTTAATCCAATTTACTTACCCTCGGCCAGGTAATAAGTAAATAAGTTTCGATAAGACTTAACCGCAACCATCATCACATTGTGCCTAATATGACAAACCTATCACGGATGAAAGACAGTTTCTCACGGTCGTCGCACCGACCTATGTGAAAATCACACAAACTTTATCGTAGGTGTTATAAAGTTGGCGTTTATTAGAGGGTGTGTAAATTTCCCTCGTCAGGTCTAGACCGTCTGTAAAATTTCTAGGAGTTATCAGCGCCGAGTAGGTACAAATAGACATCATCTGCAAAGTTAGCATGAATGGTGTTTGGAGGATGAATGGGTACATAGAGTACAACCATGTCTCACGCACACGCTCCGGGCTGATATCGACCCGGAGCACGCGGTCCTAGCCTGCCTTCAGCACGCCTGAAAACAGCGCTGAAAAACCTCGGCAGACGTATTGTATCAAAACAACTGCTGGAATTGTTGGAGAACTCAATTATCTCCCTCCTTTCTCTCCCGGAACGCACACTGTCATGCATCGTGATGTGTTTACTGGCGTCTATCGTGCGTGTGCGTGAAATGTTTTGCCGATCGAAATGTTTATTAATTATTGGACAGTCGGGGAAGGGGACGATCAATCATCCGTCATTTTTTGCTCGCGATTGTTTCATTTTGAATACACCTTGCTGCACCCTCTTTCTCGCTCTTTATAAAATAAAGAACTAACTGCCAGAATGTATGATAGAGCTAATTTATCAGGTG